AATTACTAATGATGAACTCTATACTTTCACTCTATTCATCCCCACATTTTGAATTTTTGTGTCTGATTTTACTTTTTTCCATACTGCTTGTATCTTAGCATTTGATGTAGTTCTTACTTTAAGTCTTCACACTAAAGTTATGAATGGATTATGCCCCATGTTTACAATATTAGAGCATTCTGTATCTATATATAGTTACTCTTACTGGCAAGGTGTATACCTTCTGATGTTTTCTTCTTATGCATTAGTGTTTCTTTTCTGTTTGAAGAACTCCCTTTAGCATTTAGTGCAAGACAGGACTGTTGAGAATAAATTCTCTCAGCTTTGGTTTGTCTTGGAAGTTCTTACTTATATATGAAGAGTAGTTTTTCTGTGTATAATATTCCTTTCTTTAAAATTTATTTAATTATTTGAAAGGCAGAGTTACAGAGAGGCAGATCCAGAGAGAGAGAGAGAGAGAGAGAGAGAGAGAGTCTTCCATCCACTGGTTCACTCCCTAGATGGACTCAGTGCCCAGAGTTGTGCAGATCTGAAGCCAGGAACCAGGAGCTTCTTCCAGGTCTTCCACACAGGTGCAGGGGCCCAAGGACTTGGGCCATCTTCTACTGCTTCCCCAGGCCATTGCAGAGAGCTGGCTCAGAAGTGGAGCAGCTGGAATTCCAACTGGCATCCATATGGGATGTCAGTACTGCAAGCAGCAGCTTTACTCTCTATGCCACAGCGCCAGCACCCCCCCCCAACAATATTCTTGAATGGAAAATTTTTTCTTCAGTGTTGTGAATGTTTCTTCCCACTCTCTCCTGACCTGTAAGGTTTCTGATGAAAACTCTGCAGTCAGATGAATCAGGATCCCTTTTTGTATTCTTTCTTTTCTTTTCTCACTTAATCTTTAAACTTGAAGAGATTTATTACAATTTGAAGTAGAATTGGTTTCCTTAAATATGACTGATGATCTTTGATATTCCTGTTTAATTGAACTTTCTCTGGATGTGGGAAGTTTTCTTTCATTATCTCTTTGAATATGTAAAGCCCTCTTGACATTCTCAAGTCCCTCTTGAATCACAATTTGGACACTTGCTCTTTTCGCACTGCCCCATAATTTCCAAAATCTTTCTTTAATCCTCTCGATTCTGTTTTAAGCAAATATGTTCATTGCACACTTATATAATCTTCATAGCTATATTGTCCTTCCCTCCCACAATTTCTCCATTAATCTTTAAAATTGGTTAAATCACCATTCCCAATTAGGAGCCTTTTAAAAATGGTCAACAGGGGTATATTTCTCCCTACATACACACACACACACACACACACACACACATATATATATATATTTTCCCTTATCTTTAAAAAATGGAGGGAGGGCACCAAAATGTTCCTTTGGGCCAACAGTAGCTTTTAGACACCTGTCTTTGACAATTTTCAGATACTAGAAAATTTTGCCTAAATGGTTAACAACTACAAAAGCGCTACCTTTAGTCAGATTTCATGATGTTAAGATTTTCCAGTTTATTTAAAAATATTAAAAAAAAAAAAACAGAGAAAATAGAAAGGAGAGGCTCCAACTGTGTGTTTTCAAATAAGACGGCTTTGAGCTCACTGGTTCTTCTTTTGTGTGATCTATTCTACTACTGATGATTTCTATAGCATTGCTTTTGCTAAATGGACTTTTCAGTTGAAGTATTTATTTTATTTATTTTAATTACTTCTACATTTCTGTCATCTGTGAGAGTACTGAATCATTCATTTACTCTTGAAATGTGTTGTATTTCATTAAAATAAATATTTTGATGTCTTCCACTCAGACTTAAAATTTCAACTCCATTGTACATGATTGGTTTCTTACACCTTACTTTGTTAATTATGTGAGGTCATGGGTCTCTGGAAGTTGTTGATATTGGATGTTTGATGATGTCTGTACATTGAAGAATTAGTTTTGTTGCTGTTCTTTCAGAAATTCTTAGTCTGTTTATTTTCTCTGAGCCTATAGACATTTCTATTCTAGCCCTAAATAGTGCTTAAAGTGAAGGTTTGCTACTGTTAGGGTATTTTTCTGTCCCATTCTTACAATACTCTCCAAGCTCATATTTGTGCCAATTGCATAGTTGATATGCTATTTGGAAAGAATGGTGGGAGAGGCAGGCATTGTGGCATAGTAGGTAAAGTTGCTGCCTGCAGTGCCAGCATCCCACATGGGTGCTGGTTCATGTCCCAGCCACTGCACTACCAATCCAGCTCCCTGTTAGTGGCCTAGAAAAAGCAACAGAAGATAGCACAACCCACGTATGAAACCAGGAAGAGGCTCCTAACTCTCATGGCTTCAGCCTGGCCCAACCATGACCATGTGGCTATCTGGAGAGTGAACAAACAGAAGAAACACTTTCTCTCTCTCTCCCCCTCCCTCCTTTTCCCTCCCTCCTTCTCTGTGGGTAACTCTTTTTTTTTAACTTTTATTTAATGAATATAAATTTCCAAAGTACAGCTTATGGATTACAATGGCTTCCCCCCCATAATGTCCCTCCCACCCGCAACCCTCCCCTTTCCCACTCCCTCTCCCCTTCCATTCACATCAAGATTCATTTTCGATTCTCTTTATATACAGAAGATCAGTTTAGCATACATTAAGTAAAGATTTCAACAGTTTGCTCTGTGGGTAACTCTTTCAATAAATAAATAAATAAATCTTTTTTAACAAAAGGAAAAATATTGTGGGAAAATGCCTAAAAAGTAAACTATCCTTATAAGCTTTTCCTGGGGGTGTGTTATGCACTGATACTTAACTCCCTTGTCACCACTGCCATGATACTAGATCACACCCAGAATCCACAGCCTATTGAAACCAGCACAGCTTGGGAAAGGACAAAATCCTACTTTGCTATGATATGTCTGCTTCTGATAAAGCCTCAGTGCCACTCCTGCCAGCCATCAGTCATGCTGAGTGGAGTATAAGGCTGATCAACTGGGGCCAAGGAACTCCACTTAATTTCACTTTTCAGCAAATCAGGTCCAGAGACTCCATCTACAAGCACTGATGTGGGAACAGGAAGTTAGGTTCTGCTCACTGTTGCATTTTATCAGCCTGGAATTGAGTCCTAAAAGAGTCCTGTGGACCATTGCTCTCTGTACAAAGTTGTAGAGACATCTCCTCAGCGGCCCAGTCAAGCACTAAGTGGGTTACACCTGGGTGTCACAGTCATTGGGCTATGTGCAATCTTAGAGGTGCACACCAGGCCCAAGAGGTTGCTGGTGATACTTGCCCAAACAAGCCCATGCATCCTACCTGAGCTCATGTCTCTGCATGACACTGGGGCAAGTCAAAAGACTCCAGACGTAGGCACTGACCTGGGAATAGGGACTATTAGAATCCACCCAGCATTGGATTTTATCAGCCCAGCATTAGGTCTCAAGATACAGTCCTGTGGTTCCTTGCTGTCTGCCCAAGGTTGAAGGATGGCAATAAAGACAACTCTTTGACCATCCAGAATGCTAGGCAGGGTTACACCAGAGTTCAACAGTCACTGAGCCTTACATAGGCTTGAGGGTACATGCCAGTTAACTTGAGGCTAGTGATGAAACTTGCCAAAATGAATCTATTCCAACAGAGTAGAATTCCTTACCTGATGATGGGGCAAGTCTAAAAGTTCTATGTGCAATGGTCTAAGAGAAAAGATTTTGGGATTTATCACATGCTAGGTCTCATGATGGTGGTCCTCATTCTGAGCTCCAAGGCAATGTTCTAAGCTCCCTTTCCTGCCTTACACCTTGGTGGCTAGAATCTTCCTCTGCTTTTTACCAAAGGCTGGGATGGGGTGGAGAGGTCTCCTGGCCAGGTAGCTATGGAGCAGTCCATATACTCTATTTACAAGAATAGGTCTTGCAAGTATAGGTACTGTGGGGTCCTATATGATTGGGTTTTATTGCAGTGGACCTGACACCAGAATTCAAATCTTACTAATTCAACCCTCTTTCCCTCCCCCAGTAAGAAGGCATATCTCTCCATGCTGCACTACTTGGAGTTGGGGAACTAGTGATGTGGGTAACTCTTTCCTCCTGCTTTCTTCAATGTGATTTTTCTTATCATTTTACAAAAACCAGGCACTGTATTCTCTTACCTGGCTTCTGTAACTCTTGTGAAGGTGAATTTGTGAGTGAACAGCCATTCAAATTTGTACCTCTCTGGGAAGGTGGTCACTGTCATTTTATCCCCCTTGCCTTTTTTTTAAGATTTATTTATTTATTTATTTATTTATTTGAGAGAGTTACACGCAGAGAGAGGGAGAGACAAAGAGAAAGGTTTTCTATCCTCTAAGCTTATCTGAAGCCAGGAGCCTCTTCTAGGTCTCCCACATGGGTGCAAGGGCCCAAGAACTCAGGCCACCTTCCACTGCTTTCCCAGGCCATGACCAAGGAGCTGGATCAGAAGAGGAGCACCTGGGACATAACCAGTACCCAAATGGGATGCCAGTACCAAGGCACAGGCTTAGCTTATACACCACAGTGCTGCTGCCTTCCCCCCTTTTCTTTTATATAATAGCCATTTTAACTGAATTGAGATGATACCTTATTATGATTTTGATTTGAATTTCCATGATGGCTAGTGAGCATTGTTTCCCATATTTGTTGACATTTTTTTTCTTCTGTATATTCAATATATACTGTATATTCAGATCCTTCGCCCATTTCGTAACTGGATTGGTTGATATTTTTGTGGAGATTTTCAAGTTCCTTACATATTCTGAATATTAATCCTTTGTCAAACGAATAGTTTGAAAATATTTTCTGTCATCCTGTTGGTTGTCTCTTCACTCTGTTGACTGTTTCCTTTACTTTGCAGAAGCATGTTGGTTTGGTAAAATCCAATTTGTCTATTTTTTGCTACTGTTACCTGTGTTTTGGGGATCTTACCCAAAAAGTTACTGCTTATTGCAATGTCTTCAAGTGTTTCCCTATGTTTTATTAATACAGTTTCATAGTTTCAGGTTTTACATTTAGATCTTTGATCCATTTTGAATTGAACTTGTATTGAATGAGTGGTAGAGGTCATATTCATTACTATGTATATGTGTAATCCAATTCTTCCAACATTATTTATTGAAGAGACTTTTCCTCAAGGTATGGTTTTGATTCCTTTGTAAGAAAAAAAAATCAGTTGGCTGTGTACATGTGGATTCATTTCTGAGGTTTTTCTTCTGTTCCATTAGTTTATGTGCCTGTTTTTATACTAGCACTGTATTATTGTAGTTACAGTAGTTCCTTAATGTGTCTTTAAATTTAACGTTGTTATGCGTCCATCTGTTATTTTATTCAAGATTGCTTTGGATATTTGCTTATACTGATGTTTCCAAAAACATTTTAGAAATTCATTTTCTTTTTTTTTTTTTATTTTTTTGACAGGCAGAGTGGACAGTGAGAGAGAGAAACAGAGACAAAGGTCTTCCTTTTGCCGTTGGTTCACCCTCCAATGGCCACCACGGCCGGCGCACTGCCGCCGGCGCACCGCGCCTATCTGAAGGCAGGAGCCAGGAGCCAGGAGCCAAGTGCTTCTCCTGGTCTCCCATGGGGTGCAGGGCCCAAGCACTTGGGCCATCCTCCACTGCACTCCCTGGCCACAGCAGAGAGCTGGCCTGGAAGAGGGGCAACCGGGACAGAATCCGGCGCCCCAACCGGGACTAGAACCTGGTGTGCCGATGCCGCAAGGCGGAGGATTAGCCTATTGAGCTGCGGCGCTGGCAAAAATTCATTTTATAATTTGGGGGATTCAATTGTATTTTGATGGGTATTGTATAGAATCTGTTAATTTTTAATGATATTACTTTTTTCCAATCCATGAACAAGGAGGCCTTTCCATTTTTTTGTGTGTCTTGTTCAATTTTTTTCATAAGTTTTTCTAAAATTTTCATGGTAAACATTTTTTACTTTCTTGGTTAAATGGATTTCAGGGCATTATATATAGGTTGTAGCTATTGTGATGAAGATTGTCCTTATAACTTATTTCTCAACAAGTTTAAGGGACCAGCATTGTGACATAGTGGGTTAAGCCACTGCGTGTGATGCTGGCATCTCATATAGGTGTCAGTCCAAGTCCTAGCTGCTTCCTGCTAATGCACCTGGGAAGGCAGTAGAAAATGGTCCAAATCCTTGAGCCACTGCACCCACATGGGAGACCCAGATGAAGCTCCTGGCTCCTGGCTTTGGCCTGTCCCAGCCTCAGTCATAGTGGTCATTTGGGGAATGAACCAGTGGATGGAAGATATTTCTCTCTCTTTCTCTTTGCTTTTCAAATAAGTAAACATTTTTTAAAAAAAATATTACTGGTTTACAAAAATGCTACTGACTTTTGTGTATTGATTTTGTATCCTACAACTTTACTTTATCAATTCTAATAGTTTCTCGGTGAAGATTTTTCAGATGCTTTCACTATAAAGAAACATTAAATTCTTGAAAAGAGAAATATAAGTACTTTGGACATAACACAATGGATACATGTAGCAAAACATCACATACAAAAATATGTAATTTTTATGTCTGTCAAATTTTTAAATAAAAAAAATTTAAGGATTCATATCAGCTACAGAGAGATAGTGGGATTTTTTTCTGTCCTATTTACATGCCTTTTAATTTATTTCTAGTACCTAGTTTTTCTGGTTAAAACTAAATTTAATAAAAGTAGTGAAAGTTCACATCTTTGGTTCCAGATCTTAAAGGAAGGGCTTTCATTTTTTACTGTTCAATATGATTTTGATTGTAGGTTTGTCATATATAAATAGCTTTTATTATGTGGAGGTATTTTTTTTACTTTATTTATTTATTTGAGAGGTATAGTTACAGATAGTGAGAGGGAGAGACAGAGAGAAAGGTCTTTCATCCACTGGTTTACTCCCCAAATGGCCACAATGGCTGGAGCTGCACCAATCCGAAGCCAGTAGCCAGGAACTTCTTTCAGGACTCCCATAAGGGTGCAGGGGCCCAAGGACTTGTGCCATTATCTACTGTTTTCCCAGGCCATATAAGAAAGCTGGATCGAAAGAGGAGCAGTCGGGACTAGAACCAGCGCACATATGGCATACTGGCACCACAGGCAGAGGATTAATCTACTGCGCCACAGCACTGGCCCCAATATATTCTTTATATACATAATTTGTTCAACGTTTTTAATGAATGAATGTTGAATTTTATTAAATGTATTTTCTGCATCTATCAAGATGATCATATGATTTTTTGTCTGTCATTCTGTTGATGTGATATATTACATTTATTGATTTACACATGTTTGACTATCATTCTACACCTGAGATAAGTCCCCATGGTCAGGGTGAATGCTCTTTTAATTTGCTGATTTGCTGTTGGATTTTATTTGCTAGTATTTTGTTGAGAATTTTTTTTTTTTTGGACAGGCAGAGTTAGACATTGAGAGAGAGAGAGAGACAGAGAGAAAGGTCTTCCTTTTCCATTGGTTCACCCCCCAAATGGCAGCTATGGCCACTGTGCTGTGGCCGGCGCGCTGCGCCGATCTGAAGCCAGGAGCCAGTTTCTTCCCCCTGGTCTCCCATGTGGGTACAGGGCCCAAGTATTTGGGCCATCCTCCACTGCCTTCCCAGGCCACAGCAGAGAGCTGGACTGGAAGAGGATCAACCGGGACAGAATCTGGCGCCCCAACCGGGACTAGAACTCGGGGTGCTGGTGCCGCAGGTGGAGGATTAGCCTAGTGAGCTTTTTTGCATCTTTATTCATCAGGGATACTGGTCAGTAATTTTTTTTGTGTGTGTGTGAATCAAGATAGTGCTAGCCATATAGAAGAGTTTCCTAATTTTAAATTTTGAAATAGTGTGAAAAGAATTAGTGTTAGTTCTTGAAGTTTTCAGACTTTCTATGTCTTCATGGTTCAATCTGGGAAAGTTATATGTATCTAGAAATTTATCCATTTCACACAAGTTTTTCAATGTCCCACACTCAGTTGCTCATAATAGTCCCTGATGATCCTTTGTATTTGTATAACAGCAGTTACCATATTTTCTTTTTCATCTCTGATTTTTATTAATTTGATTTTTTCTCTTTTCTTAGCTGCCTAGTCAAAGTATTATCAATTTTCTATTTTCAATAATCCAACTCTTGATATCATTAATGCTTTCTGTTGTTTTCTTAGTTTTGACTTAATTTGATTCCACACTAAAATTTTAAAGATTATTTATTTTTCTCAAAGACAGAGTTGGGGGAAGATAGAGAGACTCTTCCCTACACTGGTTAATTCCCCAAATGACCACAACAGCCAGGTCTGGGCCAGGCCAAAGCCAGGAGCCAAGAACTCCATGTCTCCCACATGGGTGGAAAAACCCAAGCACTTGGACCATAATGAACAGCCTCCATATGCACATTAGCAGGAAGCTGGATCAGAAGCAGAGCAGCTGGGACTTGAACAGGCACTCTTATATCAGATGCCAGCATCTCCAACAGTGGTTTAAACCTCACTGCACAACAATGCTGCCCTTTGCACTAATTTTTATTATTTCTTTCTTTCCATAGAATTTGAATTTGGTTTCTTCCAATTGTTTTAGGTCCTTGAAGTGCATCATTATCTTGTTTACATAATTTCTTTCTTTTATTGATGTCTGTACTTATTGCTATACACTTCCTTCTTAGTACTGCCTTTTCTGCATCCTGTAAGTTTAGGGATGTTATGTTTCTATTTTCACTAGTTTGATTTTGATTTCTTCAATAACCCAGTCTCATTCAGGAGCATGCTCTTCAGTTCTTCAGTCTGTATTTGTATAATTGCTAAAGTCCCTTTTGTTGTTGATTTCTATTCCAATGTGATCAGAAAAGATACATAAAATGATTTCATTTTTTTAATCTGCTTAGACTTGTTTTGTGGTCTAGTATATGATCTATCCTTGAGAATATTCAATGTGATTATAACAATAATCTGTACTCTTCAGCTGTTGGATAAAATGTTCTGTAAATGTGTTAGGTCCATTTGTTTTAAGTATATAGTTTTTTTTTTAAGATTTATTTATTTATTTGAAAGTCAGAGTTACACAGAGAGAAGAGAGGCCGAGACAGAGGGAGAGGTCTTCCACCCGATGGTTTACGCCCCAGATGGCCGCAACAGCGGAGCTGCAATGATCCGAAGCCAGGAGCCAGGAGCTCCCCCTTGGTCTCCCACATGGGTTTAGGGGCCCAAGGACTTGGGCCATCTTCTACTGCTTTCCCAAGCCATAGCAGAGAACTGGATCAGTAGTGTAGCAGCCCATATGGGTGGTGAGGGCCTGAAGCCACAAGGCATGGTTTTGTACTGAGATGAGGAGAGCATGCAGACCCCTGATAACTGTCTTGGCCAGGTTCCAAAGCCGTGCATCCATTCTGATGCCAGAATAGGTAGGGCACACAGCCCCTTGGCTGCTGACTTTGTGAGAACCCAAAGCCCCAGAAGCAGGCCAGGCATATTCACAGTCCTGAGAGCATGCACAGTTCAAAGCAGCAGTGAGTAGGTGGAGCTGCATCACATCTACTGCACTGTGTGATTCACAGTGGCAGTGACAAATGCCCTTGGTGTCAGAGGAGGAGAGGGAGTTGAAGGATGGGCCCATATCTGAGGGTAAAGTGCTCCTAACTCTAGGGTCGTGGGGTCCCAATCCCTCTGCTGCTTTTCACTTCCTGTCCTCTGTGGTACAGTGCACTGCATGCATTTGGGTGCAAGGCTTACTGGTATACTAACTCTACTTAGATGCACAAGTCTGCAGTCTTATGTATTGTGAAATGTCTATAGAGCCCTAGTTATGGGGATAGATGGGGACCTCTGTCTTCTAGGGCAGTGTAGAGTCAAAATGACTCCTTTCTCCAGATTCTTTCGCCTGTGCTCTGCAGGTTATGGGAGATATACGGTGAGTTCCTTCTCTGAATCAAAATTATCAGCCATGAGCTCTCCTTACTAAGCTCTTGGTCTGTGGAGCCTGTAGATGCCTCCTGCATCCAGCATTGTCTGGTAAGGTAATCATGCAGATGGGATCTACTGAGGCTCTCTCATTCAGGGGAAAGGGGATTCTCCATGGCGACTGCTCTGGGGTCTCAGTTGCTGGTTGGCTTTGTGTCTCTCCCCATGATGCCATTCCAGGTCTATGTGCCCCTAAAAGTTTCCATTATTCATGATTGAGCCCCAGTGCTTGTCATCAGGCATTCATATGAAGATGAAGTTATTTTCATTTTTTATTTGAGAAATAGAGGAGTTCTACTGTCCACTTTTTCATTCCACAAATGCCTGAAACACCTAGAGCTGGGCCAACCAGAAGCCAGAAGCCTAGACTCAATCCAGGTCTCCCACATGGGTGACAGGGACCTAAGTACTTAAACCATCACCTGCTCTTTCTCATGGTGTGCATTAGCAGAAAGCCAGAATAAGGAGCAGAGCTGGGACTTGAACCCACTGCACCAAATGCCAAATCCCAAAGATGCAGCAGTTTCTTTGTTTTGGTTCTTTCCTTGTAGAGGATGAGGCAAATGCTAAACACCTCTATTTGGCCTTTTTGGAAGTTTCCAGAAGATCTACTTTGAATTTTTTGAAGAACTGATAAACTGCTTTTCCCAACAAATACATCATTTTATAATCCTACCAACAGTGTACAAGAACTCCAAAACATTCTTAAAGCAGCGGTGCCCATATCCTCAGAGTATATACTGCAAAACTTTGAGGAAATACCTGAAACTGTATACAGAAAACAGCCCTGTGTGTGTGGCTGTAATTACTTCTGCAGTATGTAACTGGCATAGCAAAACTAGCATGAATTTCTTTTTGCTACTTTAGCTTTCCACAGAGAAAAGATTCCAGAGAAAAGATTCATTATCACCATTGGTCTTGGCAGCCTCGGCACATATTTTCTTCCCTTGAGTCAAGAACATTTTTTAAAAAGATTTTATTTACTTTTTTGACAGGTAGAGTTACAGACAGTGAGAGGGAAAGACAGAGAGAAAGGCCATCCATCCACTGGTTCACTCCCCAAATGGCCATTGCGGCCAGAGCTGGGCAGGAGCCAGGAGCTTGTTTCGGGTTTCCCACAGGGGCCCAAGCATGTGGGTCGTGGGTCATCTTCCACTGCTTTCCCAGGCCATACAGAGAGCTGGATCCGAAGTGGAGCAGCCAAGACTAGAACCAGCAGCCAGATGAAATGCCGGCACCACAGGTGGAGGATTAACCTACTGTGCCACAGCGCTAGCTCTTTTATCTTCTCACTTGAGGAAGTACCATAACGATCTGGACAGGCAGAGTGGACAGTGAGAGAGACAGAGAGAAAGGTCTTCCTTTGCCGTTGGTTCACCCTCCAATGGCTGCCGTGGCCGGCGCACTGTGGCTGGTGCACCGCGCTGATCCGATGGCAGGAGCCAAGTACTTCTCCTGGTCTCCCACGGGGTGCAGGGCCCAAGGACTTGGGCCATCCTCCACTGCACTCCCTGGCCACAGCAGAGAGCTAGCCTGGAAGAGGCGCAACCAGGACAGAATCCGGCGCCCCGACCAGGACTAGAACCCAGTGTTCCAGCACCGCAAGGCGGAGGATTAGCCTATTGAGCCGCGGCACCGGCCCCTCACTACTCTTACACTTGGGGTTATTTAAAGTAAAATAAGAGTTACATGAATAGAAGCACTATGACATCGCAGCAGCGAATCTGATAACTGAGATACTATCAAGTGACTAACAAGTAGATTAGGCATACATTAGGGCTGCACTAGACAAAAGGGTGATTATGTTCTAGGCAGAATGAAATATGACTGCACAAGATTTCTTCATGTGGCTCAACATGACACAGCTGAAAAGTTACAAATTATTTGTGGGATTTTTCCACTTAACATTTTCAGACATTGGTTGACTCTAACTGAAGCTACAGATAAGGGAGGACTGTTGCGTTTATTAAAACTTTTATGATGAAATACTTTGGACAATATGCAAAGTCAGCAGGGCAGTGTGGTAAGTTCCTCCATGGGTTCAGCCACACCGAAGCCAGCATCCCGCCTTCTTCTTTGCAATTCCATCTTCTCACAATTCCCAAAGGACTTAACCTTTCAGTTATTTAGGCAAAATCTGCACAGATTGAGACATCTGAATCTTGGCTGCCCAGTGTTTACATGTGAGTCACGCCCTGGCAGGGTATGGGACTTTCCATTTCCTCCAGCCATCATCATCACCAAAAAGCAGGTGTCATTGTCACCTAAAATCAGCCTGACCCCCTGCCATGCATATTCTCCCCTCCTGGGCCTCTTCCCCTTAGTATGGAGTCTGTGAGATCCCTGGGGACTGCTGTGTGTCAAAGTCCATCCCTTGTCCTGGCTGTGAGGTTCCAGGTGTGGATGCACCACACTTTGATCCTCGGTCCCTCTGCAAAGGACACCGAGGTATTTTCTGGCTCCAGGTTGCTGTGAATGATCCTGCTGTGTGGATTCAGTTTCTGTCTCTCGGAGGCAGAGTGGAATTTCCAGGTCGCGTGGTAAGAATGTGTTTAGATGACTTTCACAGAACGGGCAGTCTTGGTTTGCAGTACAGCGATGGTGGCCTGCCCTGTTGTCCAGAAGTGCCTCAAGCCCTTGAAAGTTCTGTACTGCAGTGATGCTTCAGAAGCCTGGGGGAGCCTAAGCTCAGGCGTGGTTCAGGTGCTCATCAAACTCAGATGACTGAGAATGATTTTGTATTGGGTTGGTGCTGCCTCCACTTCTTTCCTCCAAATTCCTTTTCTGCTTCACAGTCAGCACAAATAACTGTGTTCACATTCCTACAGTGAGATGGGAGTCTGCTGAGATGAGAAGCTTGAATCAATGGCATTTTGCTCATAAAGAAGCCGTTATCCCCATCCACCCTCCTTCACTTCCTGCCTCCTGCAGGTCGTCTGGGCTGAGTACTGGGAGAAGCTGTCCATAGACAGGCTGCCTGGCCCCTGCTCTAGTGCACACCCTGTGGAACATAACTGGGGAGGTGCCCAGCTCCTATCAGGGCCAGCCCCTCAATGGCACCTACAACTCACAGCTGCCTGAGAGACTGGATTATATCCTGGAGGACACCTGCCCTCTCTACCTCTACTTGAACCACAGAGTCAGGGGGTAGGGAGCAGCATCTGCATTTACAAGCAGCCCCTGCAGTGCCATACACCTCACCCCTCTCACTCCCTCCAGCTCCTCCATCTCAGCTGCCCATGCTGAACTTAGGATTGGTTCCCCACAAATCCTGTGTGTGCAGGTGTGTGGTCAAAAATAAGTTAGGACCCATAGGCCTTTCTCAGGTGAAGAGTCTGGGGGCTCCCTCCACATCAGAGCTAGATACCTTTTTCTTGGGGTTAACAAACATTTATAGGTTGTGAGAGAGTCAGAATGGCTGGAAACATCCTGGGGTTTGGATTTAGCAGAGAACCTGGAACTTTATGGAAGAATAGCAGCTACCAGGGAAAGCCTGTCTTCTAGGTGGCTGCAGGTTGACCTTGTACCTGATGAGGACTTGGACCTGGTAGAATTGTCCAGGGAACAAAGTGGTCAGAACAAAGGGTCAGAGCCAGGGTCAAGGCCATGTGTTAATCTGATGCCAGGTGTGTATGGGGTGGACCAGAACACCATGGGGTACCCAGTAGCTCCCATCCCTGACTCACTCCTCCAGAGCCCTGTTCTCACTGGGCTCTCACAATGGCCTGAGCCCCACCAGGCTGAGAGGTAAGCCTATATTGTAAAAATAAAGTAGGCTGCTATGCCCAGCATGGGCAGAGTAATTTCCCCATCTTGCCATGTACAGCCAGGGTCATAAGGTGAGGAGCTTGGGCCCTAGCTTCCCACAGGGGCAGCCCAAAGCTTTCCTAGGAGGTGGCTCTGAAACACAAGTCTGTTTCCACTCACTTGGTTGCCGCATCTCCATCTTGAGCCACTAGAGGGAGCTAGGGGACTTAGAGTCCCAGGTGGGGCTGGAGTGGAATTTTCAGCAGGGTGGTGGTTCCTCAGCATGCCTGAGCTGTCCCTGCCTAGAACGAAGCCTCAGGCACTGGACCACAGGCTGGTGGCCATGTACCTGGTGCCCCTGAGCTCACAAGGAGGAGGTAATGGTGCCCTCTCCTGTAACCATGCATGACAAGGATGACAGCACCCTCCATTTCCTGGGACATCAAGCAGGAGGAATGCAGTAAAGCAAGAGACGCTTGCCTGTAGGTCCGCCTGTCTGACATCTGCTGGCTCTGTGCCTGTCTCCAGGGTGCAGAGGGGAAGCAGACTCATCAGCACCCAGCACTGACTCAGGAGGACACCCAGCATTGGGATAGGCCCAAGGCCACTGGTGCTCACTGGTGCCACTGCCCCGAGTTGGGAGATAGCTGTCAGGAGGGCACTCTGCTAACGAGGCTCATGGAGAAGAGTGGAGAGCATGCACCTGTGAGCCTGACTGGGTACACTTGAGTGACTGTGGGGCCCTGACAGGTGGCGCCTCCAAAGTGCCCTGTGGCCTTGCCCAAGCTCCTCGAGCCCGGTGTGCAGAAAATGCTTGAAGGATAGGGTTCTGCTGCTCCAGGCTTGAATTCAAGCTCTGCCTTCTGTCACTGAGTAACCATGACCTTAGGGGAGACTGGGAGTGTTCATTGTGCTCCACAGGGAGCTGTGTCAGCACAGTGCCAGGTGTCTGCTCTGATTCTCTTTATGGGAAGTCTGTGGATGCCCATCACATCTGTTGCAAAGATGAGCCAAAGACCCCATGGGGACTTGATCCCAGGTCAGCCTGTCTCCACAACCAATGTGACAGCACGCAGCTGAGTGCCCTTGGGACATACCAGATCACATCACTCCCACCCCCACTACACCCTCTGCATCATGTCTTCAACACTGGTGTGGTGGTAAGAGTCAGATCTGCTCCCTGGGGTTACCTGAGCCTGGTGGCCTTCTGCGTGCAGCACTCACCCAAGGAGAGCTTGACCCCAGTGAATGACAGCCTCACGGGGGCAACTGTGCAGAATTCCAGCAAGAAGGGCAGCCCTGCACAAGATCTTCTGGCATGAAGCCTCCAAACTGGACCCTTTCAGGACTGCACATGAATCTGCACTGACCGTGCCAGGCTCACAAGCTTAGCTGCCCCTGCAAGGCTTGGAGGGGAGGTGCTGCTGCCATCCCAGAAGCTCCAGCACAGTAGCCACAGCTGGAGTCAGGGATCCTGACACAACTGTCCCACCCTTGGGGCTATGTTTCAGGTGGCCCTGTGCTCACTCAGTGATGGGCATCTTCCATCCCTGCCTGGCACCCTGGCCTCCCTCCCAGCCTATCCCTGTTTCCTGGAATCACTGTGTAAAGAAACCATCTGAACTTTGACCTGCTTCTGGGGGAACCACACCCCATCCTGCCTGGCCTGGTCCCCTGTGTTCCTCAGTCTCTCAGAGAACCAGGCTCCCACCTGCCCAAGGGAAGAAAACTCCCCTGCCATCTCTGTGAACTCTGTGTAAGACAGACCACAACACCCCCACTCAATCGTCCCATCTCCACTGAGCAAGCCTTGTGTGCAGGGCACACACTGATGCACAGATACAGGAAATACAGGGCTGGCCATGGAGTCTGGGGCACAGAGCTGCTGGGTGCTATGGCAGTTTAGTATATATGTGCCAGGGCCTGGGGCTACAGAGAGGTGCCCTGGTGACACACACATCATACACACATCCATCATACACATATAGCACAAACACTACACACACACACACACACACATCCATACGTACACCACACACACTATGCTCCTACATATACCAATCAGACCTATACACTTGCCACACACACTGTGCACACATACATACCACACAACCCCCCACACTAGACAGCACACGTATAGAGTGTAGGCCCATAAACACTCTAAACATACACCATACATAACATATACATATACACACACATACAACACATGTGCACATTACACATACAACCTATATACACACACATCCCCCATATTCACATATATACACTAAATGCACATACTTCATACATACACCAAGCACACATAAGCTGTACTTATATATACATACACAGCACAGCACACATCCCCATAGACACAAATGCCCACACACAGGAGGCCATGGAGGGTACTGAGCTCAAGCCCATGAGGGACAATGAGAAACATGAGCTCATGTTCATGTGTGTCAGGAGCCCAGGGAGCACTGCCCTGAGTCTCCAGCTGACACTGTGAGTGAGTGTGAAAGCAGCACACAGGTGAGCCAAGATGCCCTTTCCTAGACCATGGATTGCTGCCCAGGTAGCCCCAGGACAGGTTCTCGGTGGCAGAACATCGACCAGTAGGGCCTGGGTCAGGTCTGGTCCCAAGCCACACACAGTGGCATGTGCCTGTGTCCTGGCTGCTCTGGAAAAAGGGAGTCTCTCATCTTAGGACCCCCCTGGGGCGGGGAGGTGCTGTAAAAACTATCCATTTCCGGAGGGAGATCCCTGAGCTGTGTCCTCACACAGGGTTCCCACCAAAGGCAGGTGGTCATTGACAGGGACAAGTGCCTGCTGGAAAACCCTGAGCACAAGAGCCAGGGGAGGATGGCTCCAGGCCATGGACAGGAAGGGCTCTGGCATGCGTTCCCATCAACACTAAGTCCTCTGAGTACATCCTCCAGCATGGGTGAGCTACCCGCATGCCTCCAGGTGCAATCTGGTCTCAGGGCATGGGCACAGGAGGGAGCCCAGCACTACTTGGACAGGGGCTTCCCCCTCCACTCTCCGCATGCTCTGGATGCAGCTGTGCCTGCCCACTACCTCACTCACTCCTTCCCCCACACGAGGAGCGGACAAAGCAGGGGCAGACTGACGTCCATGGTTCTGAAGTGGAACAGGTGTGATCTGGCCACAGGCACCAGAGACCCAAGCAGCAGGCTTAGGACATGTCCACACCTGTGGCCTCCCCATATGGATATATCAGAGAGGCTGAGTGAGGAGAGCTGGCTCCCCACCCCATAGCTAGCCAAAGTCTAGCCTCAGTATTCCTCTCCAGAGAGAACCAAAGGACCCCCATGCCATCAGTGAGGATGTCACTGGCAGCAGCTCAGACAGGAGCTGAAAATGGGGTAGTTCAGTGCTAAAAAGGATCTAAAATTTCGAAGGGGCCTGGGCCTTTGAGACCCACAGGAGAGTTGCTGAGGAAGGGGTGGGCTTTCTTGGGGGTAGCCCTGGGGACTTTGGATAAGCAGATCCTGGCTCCCTTTTCTGAGACAATGGAGTTGGGGGTAGGGGGCTTTGGATTCTGGGAGCTTTAGGGGCTAGAAGCTGCCCACCAAGAGGACCCCAGGGTGACACTTGTGGAGGGGACACCTTCTACATGTGCTGATACAGCAACATAAGCTGGGGAAGCTAAACCCACTGCAACAGCACCCCGAATGCTCTCCTGACCCCAGGGAAGGCAGATCCCTGACCTCCCAGATAAGCCACTGCAGCCACTCACAAGCACCATTGGCCTTGGTTGCCTCTTGACCTGTGTTCAGCAGCATTGGTGCTGGTTTCAGGTAGGAAGGAAAGAGAAACAGCAAAGAAGGGCAGGTGGAATGCTGCAGACCAGCTAGCCCAAGAGACAACAGATATGACCACAGACCTCTTACACAGTCTGTCCTGAACTGTCCCAATGCAATGGGTACTCCAGCCTTCTGGTCCTCTCCCAGCCCCCTCCTGGCCCATGCAGGGCATTGGCCAGTCATGTGATCTTGGCCTCTGGCTGAGGGTGGAGGCTTCAGTTCCTGTGGCCTTACAGGAGGACCATCAGGAACCAAACATGTTCTAAAGCAAACATTTTATTAGACTTTAGCCAGCAAAGGGGACGAGGGGGCCTGCAAGTAATAGGCACACAGTGGTATCTCGTTAAGTTTTAACAGCAACTAGCTTCTCATGTGTTTATTTGAAGACATGTCCCTTCAGATCTTGTGCCCAGCTTGAGAGAGGATCAGAAGTGCTCTTATTATTGAGTTTTAAGAGTTCCTTGAACATTTTGGATACCAGTCCTCTATCGGACACATGTTATACAAGTATCTACCACTCTGGGGCTTTTCAATTCATTCTCTTACAGTATTTCTTGTTTTCAAAGATTTATTTATTTGAAAGGCAGAGTGAGAGAGAGAGACAGAGAGACAGAGAAAGAGAGCTTCCATCTGCTAGTTCACTCAACAAATGGCTGAAACATCCAGGGCTGGGCCAGGCCAAAGCCAGGAGCCAGGAATTCTATCATGGTCTCCCCTGTGGTGGCAGCGACCCAAGTACTAAGGCCATCTCCTGCTGCTTTCCTAGGGGCGTAAGCAGAGAGCTGGATCAGAACTCACACTCAGATGTAGGATGCTGGCATCACAAGCAGTGGCTCAAAACACTGTGCCACAAAGGCACCTCAGTATCTTTCACAGAGTGAAAATGTTTGACTGTTTCTTTACTTTGGGGACTATGTTTCTGATATTCATCCAAAAAACTCATAAAAGGTTATCTGCTCTTTTCTTCTATAACTTTTATGCATTAAGAGTTATGGTTAGATCTGTGACCAACTTGGAATTAGCTTAACAGAAATAAAGAAGCATGGAGTATTTTTTTTTTGAAACACTTGTATTTTCACATACACAATTTTGCCATCTATAAATATTTGATTTTCTTCATTTCTTTTTTTTAAAAAGATTTTTAAAAAGATTCTTTTTTTTAAAGATTTATTTATTTGTTTGTTTATTTATTTGAAAGTCAGAGTTACACAGAGAGAGAGGGAAAGACACAGAGAGAGAGGTCTTCCATCCGCTGGTTCACTCCCCAAATAACCACAACGGCCAGAACTACACCAATCCAAAGCCAGGAGCCAGGAGCTTCTTCCTGTTTCCCACATGGGTGCAGGGCCCCAAGGACTTGGGCCATCTTCTACTGTTTTCCCATGCCATAGCAGAGAGCAGGATCAGAAGTGGAGCAGGCTGGCCTTGAACCAGTGCCCATATGGGATGCCAACACTGCAGGAAGTGGCTGTAACACACTACGCCACAGCACTGGCCCAAGATTTTCTTCATTTCCAAACTATATGTATTTCCTTACTTTATTGCACCAGCTGGGACTTGTAGTACAATGTGTTTTTGTTGCTGTTTGTTTGTTTTGACAGCAGAGTGGACAGTGGAGAGAGAGCAGAGAGGATGTCTTCCTTTGCGTGTCACCCTCGATGGCCGCCTTGGCCTGCGCGGCAGCCAGCGCACCGCGCTGATCCGATGGCAGGAGCCAGGTACTTCTCCTGGTCTCCCATGGGGTGCAGGGCCCAAGCACTTGGGCCATCCTCCACTGCACTCCCTGGCCACAGCAGAGAGCTGGCCTGGAAAAGGGGCAACCGGGACAGAATCCGGCGCCCCGACAGGGACTAGAACCCGGTGTGCCGGCGCCGCAAGGCGGAGGATTAGCCTATTGAGCCACGGCGCCGGCCTGTAGTACGATGTTGATGGAAGTGTTGAGAGGGACCGTTCTTGTTTTGTTCCAGATCTTGTGGAGAGAGCATTCAACCTCTTAGCATGATGTAGCCTTAGTGTTTTTCACAGATACCCTTCATTAGGATGAGAATATTCCCTTCTAGCTCCGGTTTGCTGTCTCAATATCATGAATGGATGCTGAATCTTGACAAATGTGTATGCAGTACCTCCCAATATACGCTTTTAGTATGTGTGTGTCAAAATGGATAGATATTATTGGTTGGATTTTTACACATGGAACCACTCTTATCCTCCTGGATGACCTATCCTTCTTGGTCCCTATCCAGGACTTGTGTGATGAAATTAGCAGACCTGAATCTTTAGTGTTCAAGCCACTTGGGACTTTGTTCCCAATCCTAAATCAAAAACTGCAGTGGAGTTTCAAGTCCACTGTAAGCTTCATGGTATTCAGTTCAACAGGTGCTTTTCTGTCCTCTCTGACTTGAGAGGCTCACTCTGTTGCCTCAGTTTACCTGGCCTCACCCTGTGCTGGACTGCTGATCACACCAACATTGCACAGTCACCCTCACTGTGCCAACAGCCAGAGGTTTGAGAAGGAGTCAGCATCCAGGGGCCAGCTGTGTCATGGATTTGTGTAAATACAGGTCCATTGGAATGCAGCCAGGCCCCTGCCACTGGTTTACATACTAAGTAGGGCTGCTCTAGCCACCACAGTAGACTGACTGGTGATACCTGTAATGATGTGGCCTACGGTTACAACTCTTTATCTGGCCCACTACAGGCAATGCTGGCTAATCTCAGTGTACAGCATTGTTGGTTCTGCTCACAGACATGCAGACTGGGCAGAGACAGCTGGTGAGCTACCAGGCTGGGATCCTAGGAAGGTTCATCACACATATGTGTGACACACCAGGACCCTGGGCTCCTGCACTCTTCTATCTTGTATTCTTTAGAGCAGGGTGGCTATCATTGGACATTTGGTCTGGAAGCTCCAGGCTCTGGCAACAAGCAAATTAGATGGAGGCCAGTACATCTCCACAGTGTGCTGCAGAGGTCAGCAGTGTCAAGCTATACACTCCAGGGACCAGGGCAGTCATGAGGTCACCCCAGGCTGAGCTGGCTCAGAGCCCCTCTTAATGAAGTAGGGTTGTCATCTCCTTGTACAAGAAAGGAGGGGTTGATGCCCACATACCCTACTGAAGTAACTGATTCGAGTCCCAGCTTCTCTGATTCTGACCCAGCTTCCTCGCGCACACACCCTGGAAGGAAACATGATGACTGAAGTAGTTGGGTCCCTGCCACCCATGTGGGAGACCTAGATCTGGACTGAGTTCCAAGCTCCTGGCTTTGGACTAGCCTAGCCCTGGATGTTGGGAGCATCTTTCCTCTCAGTCACTCTTGCTCACTCTCTCATTCAGATAAAATTAAAATAAATTTTTAAAGATTTATTTATCTATTTGAAAGGCAGAGCTACAGAGAGGCAAAGGCAGAGGCAGAGAGAGAGAGAGAGGTCTTCCATCTGCTGGTTCATTCCCCTCCCCAAATGGCCATGATGGTTGGAGCTGAGTAGATCTGAAGTCAAGAGCCCAGAGCCTCTTCTGGGTCTCCCACTGCTTTCCCAGGCACATTAGCAGGGAGTTGGATCAGGAGTGTAGCAGCTAGGACTCAAACCAGCACCCATATGGGATGTCAGCACTGCAGGCAACAGCTTTACCCGCTACGCCAGAGTTCTGGCCTCAAAAATAATTTTTTTTAAATGGCAGAACTCTCACAGGGGTAGTGAGTGGCTCTCCTGGAAGGCACTATTCCTACCTGTCTGGGCTCCTCCTCATGTGGGCCTGGGTTAAACCTCTCTTCTCGGCCTCCTCTCCCCTCTGAAGGGGTTTCTCTGAGGCACAGGGTTCTGAAGAGCATCCCTCTGTGTCTCCAACCCTGACAAAGGCCTCTCAGTCACACAGGGGTACATCTGCTGGGTACTTGCCTTCATCCCAATCTGAGACTCCTATCACTCCCATTCAGTGTCCCCAACACTCATCTTACCCCCAGCTACCCAACAAAAAACCCAGCTTCCAATCAGAATGGCTCAGAGATGACAAGGCATTTGAGAGAGGTGAACTCTAACTGGGTATTGAGAAAATTAAGCTACGCTGTAGGTCATGTATAATAAAAACAATCAGCTCCCATGTCCCCTGCGCTGGGGCAACTGTGGGAATAGATTTGAGGCCTGACTCCTCCATGCCAGGCCCCAATGCTCTTCCCAGTATGGGACCCAGGAGCCACTTTCCAGTCATAAAGTTTATTTGCTCTCGGGGGCCTTACTGACTGGGGGCAGCCACAAGATGCCCAGGGGGCTATACTGGAAAGCAGGAACAAATGCCGTATTCAAGTTCCAGCCCTAGTTCCTCTAGGATGTGGGAAAGTGCAAAGCCCTGTTTCTTCTTCTGTTTTGCAATAGAATACACAGAACGCCTTTCAGCAGCTATGCCCAGACTACTCGCCACTCAGGTCTGGAAGCACGAATGTTAAGTTGCCTTAATAGATGCTGAGATTCTTATACAGCACTTCCTCTTTCATTCTTTGGTATTGAGACTCCTGCTTAGTTGAAAGGGGCCTAACATGCATGGCCCCACAAACATAACAGTTACTCCCATCCATCTGATGAGAAGGGGACACAACCCCAAAGCCAGGTGGACAGCAAGGAGGGTGACAGCCAGGCAGAGGCAGCCCCTGGCCCTCCTCCCAGCTCACAGGAAGAGCTCTCCTTACCTGGCTTGAAATCCAGGCATCCTAGAGTGTCTCTGACTGCTGGAGGGCAGGGGCTCCCCACTCCAACCTAGCAAGTGTATCCTTGTCTCTGGTGTGTTCACAGAAGGCCCGGCTACCTCACCTGTGGTCAGTGCCAATCAGAACATGTTTCAAGGACACAGCTCCTGGACAGACACAAAGGGCATATTTTCACCCACCCCAAAGGGTCATGGTGAGGAAGGAACAAAATGACTATGCAGGCACTCACAATGGGCACTGCTGAGTACTCAGCTGGCATCACCATCAGCACCAGCACCACCCACCCATGAGCCCCTGTCCCCACATAAGCAGGACAAGAAGACAGCAGCCCAGTCACCTCTGTCCTGAATCCATCTGCCTCTGCATAATGTGCCTCTTGCCTAGGAAAGGAACACTAGTAGGTCACTAGAAAACCAGTGTCCTCTACACACTACAGAGCAAGGAGGAAGGGTGCTTGGCAACAGCGACATCATGGAGCTCTTCTAGCCCTGTCACAATGGCACCCTCCCAGGTCAGCAGGGCCTGAAGTCAGGGTTCTTTCTCATGCCTCTGAACTGACAAAAATCTGCTAGAGGTACAGGTAGTAGGTCACAGCAGGTTAAGCCTCCACTTGGGACACCTGCATCTCACAGGTCCTGCCTGTTTTCAATCCAGTTTCCTGCTAATGCACACTCTGGGAGCAGCAGATGATGGCTCAAGTATTTAAACCCCTGCCACCCATGCAGGAGACCTTGATGGAGTTCCTGGCTCCTGGCTTTGGCCTTGCCCAACCCCAGCTCTTGTGAGCATGTGAGCAATAAAACAGTAGTTGGAAGATATATATCTCTCTTGTTCTCTCACTCTGCCTTTCAAATAAACAAAAATGTTAATAAACATTAAAAAAAACACTAATAAAACCCCTAAGGCCAGTGCTGTGATGTAGCAGGTACCATATGGGCACCAGCTCATGCCCCAGCTGCTCCTCTTCTAATCCAGCTCTCTGCTTATGGTGTGATAAAGCAGAGGAAGATGGCCCAAGTGCTTGGATCCCTGCACCAGCATGGAAGACCCAGAAGAAGCTCCTCGCTCCTGGCTTCGGATAGGCCCAGCTCTGGCCATTGCAGCCATTTGGAGAGTGAAACAGCAGATGGAAGACCTTTCTCTCTGTCTCTCCCTCTCTGTCTGTGACTCTGCCTCTCAAATAAGTAAATAAAATCTTAAAAGAAAAAACCCTAGAGGCACATCTTGTGATCTCTCCAAGGCCCATGTGAGGAAGGCATGTCTATGGCAGATGTGCTATGGACCCAGGTGTGCCAGAACCAGCTGTCACCATAGATCAAAATTGCAAACACCTGAAGCCCTCTACTTCTCCTTTTCTCCCTCTGCAAATATATTTTGCATCAACTTTTTAAGCCTATCATTTTGAATTAAAGTTATATAGTGAGCTCTGCACATGCCTCCCCTGGCTTCCTGAAGTTCCTCTCTGAGTGTGTCCTGTCCCACACCTCCCCTGGTTGGGACAGTGGGGAGGGCACTGGGTGACTGAAGATCATCTGCTTGGGACTGCAAACCAGCAACGCCCAGGCCGGAGAAGGAACAAGGACCTTGTCCTGAAGGGAGTCCAATGGATAAGAGATAAATGACTGATTTCTCAGGTAACAGCTAATGACAATGCTGAGAACCATGACCCAGCCAGGGTGAGTGTGGCAGGAGCACACAAAGTAGGTGGAGCTCCGGGGCTGCTGGGCTCAGGACACCCACACCTAGGGGACACAAGGCCTCACTGTCATCAGCAGCAACTGGGCCACTCCAGCTCCTGCAGGGGCAGTGAGATCCCAGTGGAAGGGAATTCTGGCTCCCACATAGGTTCCACCCGGTTCCTGCTCTTTGCTCTCCAGGTGTGCCTGTATGATCACTGCATGTGCATTGGGAGTGTGTATTCCCTGATCTGCCCAGGAGGCACACAGGTTGCAGTCATACATGCTACTCCACGGCATACAGCAAGCATCAGAATAGTAACAGGTTGTCCCCAACTTCTCCAATTCCCTGGGAAATTCTGGGGTGTAGGGGAAGGAGGGATGGTCAAGGGCACAGTGTGGGGAAGCATGTCCCTAGCCAGGTGGGTCCCAAGTGGTAGGCAGTGCAGGGTGTGCTTGGCTGGGCGGGAATCTACACACCCTCTAGATCTCCCATCCTGCTCACAGCAGCCCTCCAGGGCACTGCAGTGATGAGGCCTCCATGATGATGGAGCCAGGAAGCTCCAAGGAGCCAAACTTTGCTGAAGATCCCATGGCAGCTAGCTGACCAGGCTCTGCTGACCAGGCCTGGGGTTGAAAAAGCACAGCATGGGGGTAGGGCATGGAGTAGACTCACTCTGAGATGCTGCTTCTGACCCTCAGCATGCCAGGTGGGGGCCCTCCTGTTGTCATCTCAACCTCTGCCATCTGCCAAAGCCACTAGAGATGAAGCAGAGGGGACTCGGGGTACAGGTGTCACTGCAGCCCCTCCCTCCCTTTCCCAAGACCCCAGGATGCACCCTCCCCTGCTCTTTCACCCCCGATCCTGGCTGTGAGGACCTCAGACTCCCTGGGTCCAGGTATGTGTCCCTCTGGGCCGAAGAGACATCACCTGCTCATCACACATGGAAGAGCCCAAGGGTCTCTGAAGCCCACTCCTCCTGGGGACAGTGGCTCAGACCTCACCCAGGGGCACTTTAGCACCGACTCCCACATGGTACCCAGGACACTGCTTTCCTGCGTACAGTTTCCCCTTCACTAGTATACTTCTTCTCTTGCCCTCTGACCTTTAACCTCACCCCAGCACAGGACCCACGTGGCTCAGGGACCCCATCAACCCACATCCACCAAGTTATGCCGTCAGCTTCATGTGGGACACCAGTGAATCCTGCTGAGACAGTGTGGGGAGGGCACTGGGTCACCGAAGATCATCTGCTTGGGACCCCAAGCCAGCACTGCCCAGGCTGGATAAGGAAGAGTGATCTTGCCCTGAAGCCAGGCACATCCTGCACTGACTGCCACCAATGCACCATCAGCTTCCTCATCCCAAGCCATGAACCCAGGCTGGGTCCCATCATCACCATCTCCTCTTCCACAGCTTGAGCTCTCCACACATCACCTGCTGCTCCCTCTAAGAATCTTCTCAGAGGTGGGAGTGGGGAGGCCTCCCGTGTACCCCCTAAAACTGCACAGCCATTGCATTTGTTCTTTTTGTAAAAGATTTATTTATCTACCTGAAAATCAGAGTTACAGAGAGAGGGAGACACAGAGAGAGGTATTCCATCCACTTCTTCACTCTCCAAATGGTTGTAACAGCCAGGGCTGACCCAGGCCAAAGTCAGGAGCCAGGAGCTTCATCCGGGTCTCCAACATGTGTAGCAGGGGCCCAAGTACTTGGGCCACCATCCATTGCTTTCCCCAGGCCAATAGCAGGGAGCTGGGTTGGAAGTGGAGCAGCTGGAACTCAAGCCAATGCCCATATGGGATGCCCGTGACTCACATAGTGGCTTTATCCACTATACCTCAACACCAGCCCCCTATTTGTTCTGTCTTAGGCTCCTTAGCCCTTTCCATGTGTAGTCACCATTTTTTGTGCTTAATTCCAGCATGGCCTGAAGGTCACAGGCAGAGGGAGTTCTTCCTAGTCTCTGTGTCCTGGAAACTCTCAATCACAAGGTAGACGCCCAACAAATAACAACCAAGTGAAGACCAGAAAGCCCCCTAATGCTTTGGTGCTGGGTTGCATGGCACTGCAAGCAATAACGATACTGAGGTTGCACATTGTATCCCAACTCCTTGTGGTCTGCAGAGAGTAGGAGCCAAGAGCTGCCAGGCTCAAACAAGTTGCTCAATTATCACAAAGTGTCTCCCCCATGCAAGTCACCCACTCAATGGCAAGAGACAGGAAACAAAGTGTGAGGTCTGAGGGCCAAGAGTCCCCATGTGCTCAGGGTCAGGGGGAGGTGGCATCCACTACAAGTGCCAAGGACCCCCAGAGCCAGGCCAGCCAGCGACCCCCCCTCCCCAACCGGAGCTGGGCTCCTCTATCCCCAGTCACCCTCCATGCCCTGGGCAGCTGCCCCAGGATATGTTTAAATGACTTTGACCCCAACTGAGAGATGACAAAGGGCACAATGTCTGTAAGCAGGCTCAGATAGGCAAACTGAAGAAGAGAACTTAGGTGGCGAGTGGGACCCAGTAAGGAGCTCAGATGAGACCAGACAGGGCCTGGAATCCCCCCAGTGTTTCCCTGCAGCTCCCCATGGACACACTCAGAACGAGTGCTCAGCCAGTATCTGGGCAGCCAGGGTCTGAACAAATGGACCCCCAGGCTGAACCATCACAACCCCACTCTTGTCGGCTTGACCATCACCTGCATCTGCTGAAATCACACATAAGCCCCAGAGAAAGGCAGGAACATGATCCAACCTCACAATCAAACTACCTGGTTGGCTTATGCTCTGCCCATGCTATCTTTCCAGCCAGACTATGCCATATGCACTGCTGTTCTCATTCAAGTGGGAGGGGAGGGCAGAGGGAAGCCCCCAGGCCCCACATCCCTCCACAGGCCCAAGGACTTACTTGTCCCCTCCACTGCAAAAAGCAGCAGGGCCTGTGCCTGTCAAGAGGTCTACTGGTTAGCACCCACCACCTGATACCAGACCTTGGCACACCCCGGGCCACCATAGGGGCAGCATTTGATTCACAAGCAGGGTCCTTGGCTGAGGTGACCACTCCCAGGGTGCAGCAGCTGACACTGAATGTGGACACCACTGAACTGAAAATTCTCCACTCAGAGGTTCCCAGTCTAGGAGGGGCACAGCAAGCACCTTAGCAGGACCAACTTTTGGAACAGTCCCTGACTTGTCCTATGGATGGCAACACTTTGAGTGCCCATATTTCATCCCCTCCAAACCTACACACTTACCTACCTGCCCCAGACCTGCCCTGCCCAGTTCTGGGCACAGTTCTGCTTGGGTAATCACATCACCAGCCACCAATGCTGTTAGGAGCTGTAGTTCAAAGGAACATGGGATCCTGAGGTAGGTTTAAGGGCAGCAGCAGCACAGGCACACCCTTTGGGGAGGTGCTGAGCTCTCTCACCTCTCACTGGCTCATGCCTGTAGGCACAGGAGTGACTGAATTCCTCTGATTCACCTCTCAATGGCTGTGCAATGCAGTGGGGACCACTCCTGGGCAGAGAAGAGGCCACTTCTCCTCCCTGAGGATGCCAGGCCCAGGGCCGGCCATTTGAACCATCCACATCTCAGGCATTCAAATTACAAGTTCTAACTGCAGTAGCTTGAAATCTGGATCTCCACGAGTGCTCAAAGCTAGGGCAGGGCGTGTACAGGCCAAGGGCAAATCCAGACCCCTTCCAGCCCACATCTGACACCACAGGAACAGCAGCTTCCCAGCCCGCCTCACTTTCCCCTACAAAGCATGCTCATGTCTACCTTCTCATGGATTTCCAAAC